TTCATAGCGCATGCTAGAAATCAAGCTTAAACATTTTCCCTGACAATCTGTAATTTTAAATTTGATCTCATTAATATAATATTGTACCTGCAATTTTAACTTTTTATTGATTGATTTCTTAATTCCTTTTTTAATGTGTTTAATGTTCGCCATATAAATAAAATGTATATTTATATAATAAAATTGTATAATATTCTAAAAACAATACGTGAAGTGTTACCATAAACAGACTTGCAAAGGTTATCTATTGTATTTGTTGGTAGTGTTAGAGGGATTTATTCTTTATCACTTTCAGAATCCTCTAAGCTGTTTGAATCAGGAGCTGTATTTTTGATTATTGAATCTGACTTCATAATGCATTCGCTTTTTTAAATTAAGGTGATATGTTGATGTTTTCACATTCACAAAAATCATTATTAAAATATTTCGTAGGATTTTTTTATCACTTTTTTAGAGGAGCATTATCAAATTCATTGCTATCACTACCACTTTTTATATTTGAAGTATAAAGAAGCTGTTCTGCTTTTTCATTTGCTCCTAATAGCTTATCTACACAAAACGTTAGACACATTGTTTAACAAAAATAAATAAATAATAACTAATATATAATATCTATTACAGTAAAATGAATAAATAATAAGTAATAAATAAATATTATCTAATACAGTAAGAACTATCACTTTAATTTCATATTTTTGATTGTCACGCTAACCTTTAATGTTTAATTTTAATATATTCGCCTCATGAGTAAAGTCGGTAAGGTTCTTATTTCCCATTATTGTTCTAATACTGTTCTACAAACTGTAAAGCAAAAACACAAACTTTGATAAACTAGATGAGAAATAAATGGAGCACAGTAATGTCCTGACAATCTTCCTAATAACTGTATATTGTAAGTCACATATTAGGTTTTTTCAAAGTAATAAAAAATTATGAAAAAGAGCTTATGTTATTAATAACCATCACGTATTGTTACAAGAGTTTCCTAGCACTTCAACAGGCAGTTTCTCCCATACACTTTCATTAGGCATCACACAGTCAAAGATAAGTTTTCCGACATGTAACATAGACTTTACGTGACTTTGCCACCAAACTTCGTAAGAACAAAGTAACCAACAAATTAGCAGAACTTCCATGCAACCTTTTTCATTTTCTTCTAATGCCACAATAAAATATTTCTTTTGAGAGTTGAACTGCAGCATGCTCAGCTATTAAATAAAAACATAAAAATTTCAAAAGTGTTGATGTAAACAATAAACTATGTTAAAATAAGTAAATTACAAGTAAATAACCTCTTTATCTCAGTTTTGGGGAGGTGAATTTGATGAAAATAAGTTAAAAAAAAAATAGAATACTTATATTTACTTTATTAATTCTTTTTTCATACATATATTTGTTTCAATTTATACACATAAACAAGAATCCCATAGTATTTACACAAATTACTTATGACAATTTTATTACTATTCAATTTATAACCAACAGTCAATAGTACAGTACAGTGTGCTATTAACAACAATAATCTTAGCAATTAATAGCTGACCCATGAAGTGGAGGATAAATTAAAAAATAGTCTTGTTTCTGATGAACCATACATTTTGTTTTTAATGGATTTAATTGAATGCAAACTAACTTTGAGGATTGCTGTAAACTTTTAATACATTAAATATATTGGACGGACAAGGATAGAAATAAAAACTCTCATGTGAATTAAAATATTAACTAATTAAAATAATTTATTTAAATTAATAAGAACGCAATCAAAACATAAAGTAAGACCTTTCAAGTGCACTTAAGACAGTATAAGCTTATAGACGTTGTACCTATTTCAGATAATCTGCAATTCTGCAAACTTATTGCATAGGCAAGTTCTGTTCCTGAGTAACTTTTTAGTCCTTCCAAAGCATTTTCATAAGAAAAAGCACTAAAGTAATTGAATGATTCAAATGTTCTTACGCCATATATGTGTATGGCTATGCAATGTATAATTTACAAAACTTTCACCATACAGTTCAGGTAACTTTTGGACAACTTTATTAGAAGTTTCTCAGCGTAATCTATATAGGTACTACAACATTCAAAACTTATCGAAATACACACTGCAACATGTAGTAATATGTTGATATAGTCGTGAGTGTAGACGTTCTTTCAACACAAACGGCCCTTAATAGCAAAGAAAAAGTTTAAACTTTACTGCCTTCCATTGATTAATATATTCAAAACTTCTTGGCTTACGTGCAAGCTCCAGGCAAACTTTTTCTGCTAAAGTTTGTTAATCACTTGATATGTTTTCTACAATTTGAGCACTTATTTTAACACTTCTGTTACCTCATAGCCAGTGCATAAGTAACTTTTGTGTAGCACCAAGACATAGCAAATGCATGTATTCTAGAGATACATTAGAAACTAATTCAAACACTAAGTGGCAATAAGGATAACTATATCTTGTTTATAATGCTGTTTTGTGACTAGCAAACAATTGATCTGTGTGTTTCATGGCATTTAACTATGGAAAAACAGTTCTGCGATCCATATCCACTTTCATTTTTGCTCACATCTTTTACACCCATAATATGCTGTATGGTCTTTAGTGCATTTTATAAAAGCAAGAGTTGGTGCATCACTATGGAATTATAAGTATTTATGGAAAAACGGCATCCATTTACATTTGTGTCAGTTTTTTTAACTGTTAGCAATACAGCGACAATTTTTTTAATGAATGCAGTACCAGAAGCTGGCTAAAAATGTTGTTTATTAGCTCTTCTAACAGCAATTTGAGTTACTTCATTCAATAGCTAGTCACAAAATAGAAAAAAAAAAGCTAAACTAAAAACGATAAAGAACAAAGCAGTATTAAGTTAGCAAAAAAACTTATATTTCTTTGAAGTTCTACAAACTGTTTTTTCTTTGATATGATCATCAGGAAGTTTCCTGATTATCACATCAGAAATGTATAAACTTATTTCAACTATATTTATAAAATATATTATAATATATTTATAAAAAAATAGTATATTTTTAATAATAACTATATTATTACACATGTTATTCAATTAAGCAATATTTGATTTTAGTGTTAAGCAATATTTGATTTTAGTGTTAAAGATATGTGTTATCAACATTATTTCATGAAGTGAAAGCCATTTTTTATTATATCATAATCTAATAATTAAGCTATGAAACTGAATTCTTTCTAAAAACTCTCTTCCGGGGCAGAACTTTCTTCTGGGGCAGAACTCTCTTCTGGGGCAGAACTCTCTTCTGGGGCAGAACTCTCTTCTGGGGCAGAACTCTCTTCTGGGGCAGAACTCAAAATGTAAATACAAAAAATGTCTGCACAGTATGCAAACATGCAACAAAACTATCAAATAATCTGAGCTGTGAAAATTAAAAAAAAAAAAAAGCTTTAAAAAAAATGTACCATGAAAGGTGTAGCCCCATCAATTTTTGTAAGGGTGCGGTTGTGCCTCACAATGGGGGCAAAACCGTTTTTTTAACTAAGTGTAATTTTTGTGTAATAACATTTTCAAAACCCGAAATAAAAAAAAGATTTGTTAGATATCACACCCTAGTGGAAATATTTCTTACGAAAAAAAAAGTACACCAGAAACGGATTACATTTTCAAAACCACCATACCTTGTTCTGTTATGACCTAAATTTTGAAGTTATATTCTGTCGATATCTAAAAAAATAAAAGGGGGTTAAACAAGCTGGTCCAGAATTTTTAGTGTTTAAGATATATAACTTCCAGAAATGGTGCTTTCATAAAATTTTGTAATAATCATACTAATGCAAAATAAGAATGTTTTAGAAAAAATAGCGACAATCGGAGACTGGAAACAATGTTAAACCTAAAATTTGGGTCCTTGTGTCCCATGTATGGTTTCAATAAAAAAAAAAAATATATAATATCTTTAACTAAATTAAAATTAATCGACAGATTTAAAATTTCATACAAAAACCTTTTCTCTTTAAAAAGTTATTATTGTTTTTAGTTTTTTATTCCCTAATTAACTCCAAAAAATAACTTTAAAAGATCACAACTTTTAAACGGCATATTTTTTTGGAATATAAATATTTATAATTTTGATTCTAATAAATATAAATTTTAATTCTAATAAATATGGAAAGAAAAAAAAATTCATAAACGTTTTAAGGACGTTACGTTAGGGGCGTGTTCTTAGAGTTTAAATATGATTGGGCCCAATCACTGGGACACAAATAAAAAGAAGATTTTTGTTTTTTGTTGTAGTTTTTAGTGATATTTAACATTACAAGTTAATAATAACTGTTTCATATTTTACAAACTAACTTTTCACAATAAATTATATATAGAATTTTTTTAATATTCTTCTGTATGTTTTACCAAAGTGAGTTAATAAAATGTTACATGTTTTACTTTTACAAACTACTGTTTTATTTTGTATTACGTCAATTTAAATAACCCACAAAATCATTCTTTATTGCTTAAGGCGAGTTTCCACTCATCCGTTTTTGTACGGGAACGGAAAAGGAACGGGAAAAATAATCACGTGGGCATGCGTAGTATAAGTTTTAACATGTCCGAAGGAAAACTACGCATGCTCACGTGATTATTTTTCCCTTTCGTGAAAAATCGGATGAGTGGAAACTCACCTTAAAATATTTGAAATTGGTTAATTAAAAACCACTTTTAGTTTTAACGAGTTTTGATTTTTATGCATTATTGTAACTTGTGTTTTGTTACACGTTGCGTTTGTAATATCGTTAGTTGTGCTTTGAAAATTTAAGTATTAATTAATATTTTACCTTTGAAATGCCATATTCAAGATTAAGTCACAGTCAAATTAGGAGTAAAGTTTGTTTTATTTGCTTTGAAAAAGGAAAAAATTTAAGTAAAATACAAGAAGAAAGTGTAGTTTTATTGAGAATTAAAAAATATTTCATTGACAATGTTAATTTAAATGATAACCGTTTTCCAAATTGAATTTGTGGAAGATGTCAAACTAATTTAGTAAAAATGGAAATAGGTAACACCAATATAGTTTTATGTAAACCATTTGATTTCTCTAAGATCAAAGAAACGATTTTAACTAGAAACCAACAGTTTTGCCAATGTGATATTTGCCTTACTGCTATGTGTAATTTAACACGTGGATCAAATACAGAAATAAGAGGAAGACCAAAACTCAACATGAAAGTTTTACCCTCTCCTGGACCAGTTAAAGTTTTTAAAAGATGTCTAAATGTTATTGGACCAGGATTAGCCCACACCTCTTGCATTAAAAAGCGAAGGGAAAACCTAATGAAGCAACTAGATAAAGGTAAAAAAATATTAATTTAATTATTAAGTTCCTTTTAAAACTAAATTATAATAATAGTTCCAAAGTAATTACAAATTTTTTATTGTAGATTTTTATTTAGACGATAGAGGTGCCGAATTGCAATGTTCAAAAACACTTAAACAAAAGTTTGAAAAACAAGGCAATTTAATTAAGGTTGCAACATGCAGAACTTCAATTAGCATACAAAAACTAAACACTTCTTCTAAAGCTTTGTTTACTGATTCACCGATACATACAAGTGAAGTGAACAAATTAAAAAATGCATGTGGTGTCAGTAACACACAAGATGCTAAAGTTTTAAGTATTTTTAGAAGTTGGAAGGGTCGCAAATCATTTGAAAAAAATACAAGAAATAAATTGATTGAAGAAGACGCCATTTTAAATGAATATTTGACGTAAGATCTGTTAAATTTGATGAGGGTGAAAAGGTGATGGCTTATTGCAAAGATATTCTAGGACTGGTGGAAAATGTTGTCAAAAAAAGAAATATTTCAAGTGAGTACATTTTAAAAGTCGGCATTGATGGAGGAGCTGGATTTTTGAAAATATGTCTAAATATCTTAGATTGTTGCGAGGAATCTAAAGAAAAGGTATAAAAATTTAGTTTTGACGAAGGCATATGTAAAGAAAAATACAAAGATGATGGGGTTAACAAACTCATTATTATTGCACCTGTAGAAAATTTGCAAGAAACTTACGCAAATATGAAAATAATAATCGATTTTATTATTTTAAACAGTATTAAATACTTTTGTGTTTTCGATATAAAGTTGGCCAATATTTTTTTTTGGATAGAAACTGCAGCCTCAACTCATCCTTGCCCTTGGAGTATAGCTAGCAAAAATGATTTTCAAAATTTTGAATTTCAAGGTGAACATAGAACGCTTGGAATGATTAGATTATCAGCTAATAATTACAAAAATGCTTGCAGAAATAAAATTAAAAAATCAAAATTATCTGCAGTACCCTATCATAACTGTGTAGACCAACCACTTATTGATTTACCAGATGAAATAAAGGTTATAAAACTTCTTGCTCCGATGGAGCTACACCTTCTCAGTGGAAACACCAACAAACTTTTTAATTATCTTGATTCATATACAAAATCTAAAGAATTTTGTTTTAAAGCAGAGGAGTGGAATAAAAAACTGGGGTTTAAAAGACCAAGGCTTCATAGTGGGCAATTTAAGGGAGGACAGTGTTCAAAACTTCTTGATAATATAGATATTTTGAACGATTCGATCAAGTCTTTTTTTACTAGATAATGATGAACAACTTTCTTTCATACTACAGGCATTTATATGCTTAAGAGAAGTTAAAGTTAGTTGTTTAGCAATGACTTTAGAACCCGACTACGAAATAAAAGTAAAAGATTATCATTTACAATAAACTTAGATTAAGAGTATCACCTAAAGTACACGGTTTAGTAAAACATACAGTAGAATTTTTAAAAATGATGTCAAGTGATTATCCAAACAAAGGTCTAGGCTATTGGAGCGAACAAGCCTCTGAATCTGTTCATCAAAATTTTAGTCAGTTCTGGGAAAACGGTTACAAGGTATCTAAATGTCACAAAAATTATTCGAAAAGATTGCATAAAGCTATTGTTACATATAACTCTCGTCTTACTGTTTAACTATATATATAATTAATTGTGAAAAGTTAGTTTGTAAAATATGAAACAGTTATTTTTAAGTTGTTTTTTTAAATATTACTAAAAACCACAACAAAAAACTAAAATCTTCTTTTTATTTGTGTCCAGTGATTAACGCCCTTAAACGTTTATGAGTTTTTTTTTCTTTTCATATTTATTAGAATCAAAATTTATTGACAACTTTCAAATATCATTCCAAAAAAATATGCCGTTTAAAAGTTGTGATCTTTTAAAATTATTTTTTGGAGTTAATTGGGGAATAAAAAACTAAAAACAGTAATAACTTTTTAAAGAGAAGAAGTTTTTGTATGAAAATTTAAATCTGTTGATTAATTTTAACTTAGTTAAAGATATTATGAAAAAAAAAAATTTTTCTAATGAAACCATACATAAGACACAAGGACCCAAATTTTAGGTTTATTGTTGTTTCCAGTCTCCGATCGTCGCAATTTTTTCTAAAACAATTTTATTTTGCATTAGTATGATTATTACAAAATTTTATGAAAGCACCATTTCTGGAAGTTATCTATCTATCTATATTTATATATATATGTATATGATGGCCTACTTTATTTATACGGCCGGATATTTTACATTTTGAAGAAAAAAATAGAAGGCCAGTTTTCTGGAAAAGTGTTTTTAAGAAAGCAGCTTTGGAAGTTCAAAAAGATGGATAACAAATGTTGCGTCGTAAATTGTCGTTCAAATTATCATAATTATGGTGAAGTATCTACAGTAGTATTTTCGTTTCCAAAAAATGAAGAGTTAAAAAAATATTGGATTAAATTTGTAAATAGAATAGATTGGACACCTACTAATTCTTCCGTTATATGCATCAAACATTTTGAAAAAAAGTATTATAAGAAAGGTAATAAGAATCAACGATATAGATTAATAAAAAATTTAAAGCCTATTCCAACTATTTTTGACTGCACAAATTTGAATGAAGAAGGTTCATTACAACTTATAAAGTCTTCTAATTCATCAAGAAAATCACCAACTAAAAGAATATTTCAGCCAGATCAATATGAACAGTTTTTATTGAATAATTTGATTAATAGCTTTAACGATATTACTGAAAGTTTTGCTCCAGATGGTTTTTCATTCTTGAAGTATGATGATCATGTAATTTTTTATAAATTGAGTCATAGTACTATATCTATTCCAGAAGTTACAGAGTGCATTCGTGTAAACAATGAGATGCATGTTAAATTATTTTACAGAGGTTCATCTCTGTCATTACCTCAGTGGTTTTGTCAAGGAAGAGATTGTCGTTTATCTTGTAAAAGTATGCTTCATAATTTTCCTACCTACATTAAATCACAAGCCGAACAATTTTCATCTGTATTGACTGAATTACAGCAAATTTAATATATGAAAAAACCTATTTATTCAGCCAATATTATAAGGTATTCACTGATATACGATATACTTCTATGCAGTCATACCAACTTTTGCGTGAAGAATTGCCTTTACCATCATTATCATTACTTAAAAAAATAACTAGTGGGAATATAGATGCTCTAAGTTGTGCAAAACGTTTAAAATTAGAAGGTAAGATATCTCAAGACATTTGCTTGATTTTTGATGAAATGTACTTGCAAAAATGTGAGGAGTATTTTGCTGGAGAGATGATTGGTAGTGATGAGTCTGGAGAAATTTATAAGGGAATAGTTTGTTTTATGATAGTTGGCCTGAAACAAAACATTACATATGTGATCAAAACGTCTCCTGAAAAAACAATCAATGCTGAATGGTTGAAAGAAGAAATTTTTGAATGTTTTCGTATTTTAACTGAATGTGAATTTAATGTTAGAGTTATTGTGTGTGACAACCATTCTGCTTATGTTTCTTGTTTTAAAAAAATCCTTTGTGCATCCAATCAACAAGCTGAAGATTTGTTTTTTATTTACAATCTAAAAAAAATTTACCTCTGTTTTGATTTTGTACATCTTATTAAAAACATCAGAAATAATTTGTTAAATTGCAAAAGATTTTTATTTCCAGATTTTAACTTTAATGGATTTAAAGATCCTATAATTGTATGTGGGGGAGAAATTAAATGGAGTACCTTCCACAATATTTATGAAAAAGACCTCACTCTTGATGCTGGTTTGCGTAAAGCACCAAAAATAACAATGAAAGTGTTACATCCTGGCAATTTTAAACAAAATGTTTCTTTAGCACTTGCAACTTTTGATGAAACTACATCAGCAGCGATTCACTCATATTTTCCAGATCTTATAGGTAGTGCAGATTTTCTTACATTATTTAACAAGAGGTGGGTTTTATCAAATTCTAAATGTCAGTATTCAGCATGTAATATTTTAGGTAATGCAGTCGTTTCTGGTGATAAAAAACCTGAATTTCTTCGGGAAATGGCACATTGGATTGAAGTTTGGCAATCACAAAAGATACCAAACTGTGAGAAGTTTACTTTAAGTGTTCAGACAGCTGCAGCACTAATAAGAACACTTAATAGTCATGCCTCATTGATCGAGGACTTGCTTAATGATGGATATCACTTTGTTTTAACTGCGAGATTTCAAAGTGACCCATTATAAAGGAGATTTAGACAATATAGACAAATAAGCGGTGGAATATTTTTGGTAGGTTTAAAAGATGTCACTATTTCTGAAAAAATATTAAAAATCAAAAGTATAGTTAAAGAAAGTATTAACTTCGATGATTTAAAAGTGCCTGAGTCAGAAAATAATTTAACAGATTGGAAAAACTTTCTTCTTGATATTGATAAAGCTCAGTGTACTCCAGAAATCATGACACTTGCACCAGAAAGTAGGGAAGTAGGTGCTCATATTGCTGGTTATATAGCAAAGAAACTTAAAAAACATTTTGGTACATGTTGTAAAGAATTTTTATGTTGTGTCAATATTGATGAAAGCAATCCTGATCATACTTATTTAACAATTATTTCTAGGGGTGGTCTCACTATTCCTTCACCATGACTTTTGGATTATGTTTGCACATCCTTTGCTATGATTGACTACTTTTATAAAAAAATAAAGAAATTTAGTTTACATGCACGACAAACTTTAGAATATTTGTTAAACCACTTTTATGACTCTTTTCAGACTTTTTCTTGTCCCATGCATGAGAAAACTGGGATAAAACTTGCTGGAAGAATTGTTGTTAACATTTTTCTTAATAAAAAAAGAATTATCTCTACCAGTAAAGTAGCTGTTGATCATGTAAAATCTATTAAAAAAAGAAAATTTGAGAAAATTTAATAAATTATATATAATTTTTTTATTTTTAAATGAAAAAAGAGAAACATTTAAATATTTTTTATAACTGTTCTTGTTTCTTACATCGTTTTTACTAAAACTAAATTTTAAAATAAACACTATTTATTTCTTAATAAATGTTCGTTTAATATCTAAAATTATGAATAAATACAACTTTTGTGGACTTTTCAAATGTAGAAAGTAAAATAATATTGAAAATGTTCAAAAAGTATTAAATTTTTGAAACATTACGATTTTAAAAACTGGCCATCTATTTTTTTCTTCAAAATGTAAAATATCCGGCCGTATAAATAAAGTAGGCCATGTATATATATATATATATATATATATATATATATATATATATATATATATATATATATATATATATATATATATATATGTATATATATATATATATATATATATATTAAGTATAACAATTAATTTGTAATTTAAAAAATTTAACTTTTATTTAAATAGATATACACACATATGTATATCTATTTAAAATTTAAATAAAGGTTATACTCATAACAACAATATTATCTTACAAATATTAATGATAAAAATTTAACAAGAAATGAATATTTTATTTTAAATTATTTTAAATTAAATTATTTTATATTAAATTATTTTGTTTTCAAACTAAGCAAAATTATATTTTGTTAATTCTAAAACTTATCATTTATCTTGAAAAACTTTCATTTTAACTATTTTATCAAAATGATAATGCTTAATAAATCTTTAAAAAAATCGTTTTTGGTTGCATTTTGAACCGACCATCCGGCCGGAAACGAATTTTCAAACATTACCGCAACCGGTATAGGAACCGAAAAATCCTGTCAGAGTTGTGTCCTGAACCGAATCGAATTTCGGTTGATCACTATATTGACAAGGCTGAAGAAAAAATTTGAAAGTTTTTATAACTATTGAAGAAGTTTAATGCCAGATTTTAAAAACACAAAGCAAAAAACTTAAAGTTTTTGCGTGAAGTTACGCAAAGTTACGGTATGGCTTGAGTGTAAGATGACGTTATTCTAATACACTTGAAAATAATTTTAATATAACTTTCTGTTTAAGAACCATTTAACCTCTTGTGAATATCAAGAAGTAAAATGCCTCAATGAACAATGCTCTACTGCACTTTTGCGTAAAGAACTAAGTGACCACATGGAAAAGCATTGCATTTATCGTTTGGTTACCTGTCAATACTGCAAACTAAAGATTAATTTTTGTGACAATCAAGTAAAGTTATTTCTTTTTTTATTTAATTTTTATTCTAATTTTAGTTTGTTTTTTAATATTAAGTAGAACTTCCTTTACTAATTTAAATTAATATATATATATATATATATATATATATATATATATATATATATATATATATATATATATATATATATATATATATATATATATATATATATATATATATATATATATATATATATATGATATATATATATATATATATATATATATATATATATATATATATATATATATATATATATATATATATATATAAATATATATGTATATATATATATATATATATATATATATATATATATATATATATATATATATATATATATATATATATATATATACATACATATATAATATATATAATATATATATATATATATATATATATATATATATATATATATATAGTATATATAGTATATATAATATATATATATATATATATATATATATATATATATATATATATATATATATATATATATATATATATATTTCGAAAAAAGAAATGCCTTAACGTTTGAAACCAATATGTATCCTATTCAAGACAATACCTGTTTTATTTTTTTAACACTAATATACTTTCATATCTTTTGGAAACAGATGGTCTGATGTTGTAAGTTCTATGATGCATGATTTTAAGTTATGAATTGTCCTAAGTGTAAAGGATATGAAATTGATTTGTAATATATGAGCTAGGCAAAATACAAAATGAAATGTTTTAATTTTATTATCTAGTTTATAAAACTGAAAAACTTGACAGCATTTCTGTTTCATTACCAATTAGAACTCTGCCACATTATGTATAGGCGTTTCACGTCTAAAAAATGTGACTAACATTGGCCAAAGCAAATCAAAACTTTTTTGCAAGAACTCTAGAAGATCTCACAAAATACCATAAAAATTTAATATTGTATATAAACATGATACAAGCAATATTTCTGAAATTTGCAGATTTTAAATGCCAAACTTCTTAGCTGTTTGTTTATTTAAGACATGCTCACTTAGAGAAATTATAATATTAAAGGTTATGAAATATTAAAAGTTAAAGTTTAATTATATGGAAAAATGGAAATATTTAGTTTTATGTGTGTTACATCCCACATATTTTGATCAATGATCAAAGAGACTGATAAACTGAAACAAGCATACATGCTCCGTTGCCTATTTTGGTAAAAATTTAAAGATTTACTAAATCTAAACATTTTCTGAATGTACAAAATGAGATATTATTTAATTTATTTTATTTTTCTTTGAAATTAAAAACAAAACATTTTTATTAACGTTGAGTTCATAATTGGTTTTTGCATGGTTTATACAAACTTAATATAAAGTGATGGAACACAGACATCATGGAATCATCTGTGGTAAATAGACGAGGTTAGGGAAGAGATAAGGTTACAATGCTATTTTGTATATAGTTAAAAAAAACTTTCTTATAATATTTTGTTTGAATTTAATTTATTAAAAGAGGGGGGGATAGCTTTATTATCCCATCACACACTTAGTACGTTGTAGTTGTATATTACAATGTGTTACTATCTACCTTTATAAAAATAATTGCTCTAAAAGGTTACAAGCTAACCTAATTTATGAGTTGATGAGTTTACAACGGAAAAACCACATTTGTCCGAAATGATTGTCTTGTTTTCAAAAAAACACTTTAAGTAAATAATACTTGTATTTAGCACAAAAACTGCGTTTTTATATTGTATAAGGACTAAAACATCAGAAAAATATACTTTTAATTAAACATTAATAAACAGATATCTAATGTCACTAAACACTAAACTTTATTTTTCTTAAAATGAGAAAAATACAGATGTCATATATATATATATATATATATATATATATATATATATATATATATATATATATATATATATATATATATATATATATATATATTATTTAGTACTTCTCTAAAGCATATAGGTTAAAAATATAGGTTATAAACCATATAGGTCTAAAGCATATAGGTAAAACCATATGGTTTTAGAGATTTCTCTAAAACCATATATGCTTTTTATTTAAATACTTTTATTATTAAATGTGCTTACATCAATAAAAGTTTTAATTTAATTTTAACGGGCTTAATGGGTTGTTTGGCAAGAAATTGAACTTTATAGCGGGTTGATGCCATCATGGATGAGCGGGTTGATGCATGATGGATTTTTACAAAAAAAAATCACAACTTTTTACGCACCTCAATTTGTTTCTGAAATGTTTTGCAAATCATTAATTTGTAAACAAAAGTTTATCAACACCATTTAAGATAAGGAAGTAAAGTTTAATTTAAAAAAAATTAAATAAAAAGCATTTGTGGTTTTGGAGAAATCTCAATTTAAAATTGACCGGGTTTTTCCGTGTCCACCCGATATATATATATATATATATATATATATATATATATATATATATATATATATATATATATATATATATATATATATATATATATATATATATATATATATATATATATATATATATATATATATATATATATATATATATATATATATATATATATATATATATATATATATATATATATATTTAAATAAAACATTAAAACAAGAATATGGAGAAAACATTGTCTATACAGAAAATTTAATGAAAGTTACAAAAACTTATGTTAGATCATTTTATACTTACCTTTATATATATAAAAAATTTAAATTCAGCACATTTTATAAATACACAAACTACGAACAGATTTAATTTATGTGTTTCATCATGACAGTTCACCACTCTACTGGCAAGGACAACATTTTTGCTCTAAATTTTTGAAATAAAGTATTTTTGCAATAAAGTAAAGTCGCATTATAGCAAGGTACACTACTTGGCTGGCAAGATCAACACTCTTACTGTAAACCTAGCCAAGTCACAACGATATGAAACCATGCACATAACATTATATCACAATTATAAAAACACTTCATATATAAAAGATATTTACACACTTACAAAATACAAACTCATATAACATTAAAACATATAAACTAAAAAAAGTAAGTTAATTATGAGTACCGTAGCGTGGGGTAATCGAGCACTTCATGGGGTAATCGCGCACCCGTTAACATATTCATTTTAAATGACAAATGAAACATTTAGTAATAATGCTTAGTTCATTTTTAAGTTAAAAATACATAAAGTAACATAAGGAAAATATAAGTTATTAACTACAGCTTTTTCAGAAGAAAATAAATAACCGATAACAAGTTAACTATATCACGGTGTAGATTCATAGAATTCCGTAAAAACTACCAACTGGAAACACTAAGGGTAAGCATTTGTAGTTAAAACTTTCGTAAAATTTTAAATTTTTCTCCAGTATACCTTACATATATTGAAGTGAACTCGCACAAGTTTTCAAGTCTTATAAATGAATTTTTCATAAAAGATAGGTGTTTAAAGTAAGGTGGGGTAATTAAGCACTTTTATATGGGGTAAATGAGTATCTTTTAAATTTACTGGTTTTTATTCTTATAATATTTTCGATAATAAAATTAGTATTTATAGATACAAATAATTTGAGTTTTTAGCTAATATTTTTCACTTCTTTATATCAGATTTATAACTTAAAACAGTCAAAAATTTAATCAGAAAGTGAACTTAAAAGAGCTATCGAACTTGTTAATGGTGGAAAACCTTGTAAACGTTTGGTAAAGCTGCTAAATATACCATACAGAACTTTAAGGTGTCATTTTAGTGGTTTACGCAAAAGTAGTGTGGTTGGTCGAAAGAGCTCTTTGCTACCAGACGAGGATATGTCAATTGCACATTACCATTTGTGATTTTGGGTATGCGTTTGATAAAATAGATCTTAAATTATTTGTACAAAGTTTTCTTAACAAATCTGGAAGAGATTGCCCATATTTTAAAGAAAAATTTGCCTCGTGATGATTGGGTAAGATCATTTTTAGAGCGGCATAAAAGTCTTTGGCTTATCGAGCATGTTGCAATATTTGTAGAAAGCGTGCTGTAATTTATGTGACTCTAAATAGTTTTTTTAACAATTTAGAAGATTCAATAAAAAATGTTCTACCTCAAAACATAATAAACAATGATGAAATTAATCTTTCTGAAGACCCAAAATCAAAACAAATAATGTTCCAGAAAGTTACTAAACTTGCTGAAAGAGTTATAAATACATTAAAGTCATCAGCGTCTATAATTTTTAGATGAACTGCTGATAGTTTTTTTCTTCCTCCATATACAGTGTATAAAACTGAGCGTCTTATGGACACTTTAATACTTGGAGGTCCAATTGTTGCATGCTATAACCGTACAAAATCTTGCTGGTTTGATGGCTAATGTTTTAAAGATTGGATGCAAACATTAGTAATACTTTATTTCAGACATGTTGATAATAACACACCACTTCTTATAGGTGATAATTTGGCATGCCATTTATCATGTTATCAAAATTTGTAAAATTAACAATATTAGGATGGTTTTCTTACCTCCTAATAGTACACATTTACTACAGCCTCTTGACCTTGAGCTTATGGACCCATAAAGTCAGAGTGGAGAAAACTAATTACTGAATGGAAAATTGTTGAAGGAAGATTTCATACATCCCTACCAAAAAATGTTTTTCCAAGATTGCTCCTTAATCTCTTGACTAATATGAGTCATATACAAGAGCTCGCTGTAAATGGGTTCAAAACTGGTATCTACCCACTAAGAAAAAAATTTATTGACAAGATTTTAAAGACAGACATATATAAATCTTTTCAGAACTTAGTATCCCCATTAGTTCTTGAACGTCTTGCAGAACTTCGAGAAGCTTCTGCTAAAAAAGCCTGAGGCAATAATGCGTGGGAAAAAAGTTAAAGTTTTACCAGGAAAAAATATTTCACTAGAAGGTGTTGCAACAAATTCTTCTACTTCTAAATCCCATTTAAAGCACAAGCTAATCAAAATAAAAAAAAACCTAACTTAATGAATCATTAAATATAGAAAGAAATTCTAAACTAAATTTGAATACTTTTAAAGAGATTAATGAATATGATATGCTTTCAACCTCCAAGATTTATATTGTGCTACAAGAAGCTTCTAATAAAAAATCTGATTGTACACAGAAAGAAAAAAAACTATAACCTTGGAAAAAAAAAATTGTTTTTGAAACATTGTATTTCAAGTAGATTCAACGTTATATTTTACGTTTACACAACCTTATATTTAACTTCTTTTGGAATTAAATTTAATTGTTTTATTATTTAGTATATATATGTATATATACATGCATACATATATACATATATACATATACATATATACATATATACATATATACATATATACATATATACATATATATGAAAACACAACGTTGATCCACTGTTTATAACCCAACTTATTCCAGTGTTTATAGAGCAACATTGATGTATATAACGTTGAGTTATAGACATTGGGTCAACGTTAATCTATACACATTGGATCAATATCGGGTTACACACATTTGATCAACGTTGATCCCTATACATTGAATCATCATTGGGTTTAAATCGAAAATTAACCAACTTTTGCAATATTTTTACATACATTGGACTAATATAATTTTCCTAGCTGTTTTTAATGACTTCGTTATTAAGGTTTTCATTAATTTAAATATAATTAAACATAGATTGGATCACGTTGTATTAGCGTCGGAAAAAACAGCCGACGCTCAAAATGTACTTTCATACGTTGACCCAACGTAAGTGTGCTGGCTAGATTCCCAAAGAGTTCTTGATAAGGAGTGGTAAATGGGAAGGGATGGTTCGACAGGTCTTTTTTTTTCCATTTAAGGCCTAGAAAAATTGTTTTGATACTAAGATGTTAACAAAAACAAGGTCCTCGTCGGCTATTATTTGCCGACTCCAGTGTCAAAATTTGGCTACTTATTTTTGAATGTAATTTCTGCTGGGAGTAAGACATCGCGCCCCCCCCCATGCGTCTCCTCGGGATGGTCCTTATAATAATAATGATGATGATGGTAATGATGATGATATTGTTTACTGATGAATGTGCTAAAACAAAATGTTAAAATCATTTAAATTTAAGTAAAAATTAAATTTTCTCGTAAATTTACATTTAGAGTCATGAAGAAAAATGCAAATGGGTACCTCTTTGTTGTATAAATCAATGTGACATGAAAGTTTTACGTAAAGAGGTTTGATTTAAAATTGAAGTAGCTGTTTCATATAAAACTTTTTTACCCAAGTAAACACTTGACACGCTAAAAACGTCAAAACAACGTTGATTTTACGTTTAAACATTTTTAACACAATTTTAATACGCTTTTTAAACGTCATGTGTTTACTGGTACATTTCACTCACTTGGATAAAAATTTATCTAAATTTTTTGTAGATGTCTGCCCATATTACTGATAGTTGCGCTAATACAATTGTTCCATGTCAATATTTGAAAATTGGATGCACATTTAAGGTAAGAAAATAAGTTTTGAAAAATTAAAAGTTTTTTAATACTTTAAAAATTAAAATTTTATAAAATTCATAAACATTAATAAGCGAGATTTAAGGTACATATCATCTTTAAACTTCTTTAAACATGCTTTAGTTGCAATTTTTTTTTAACTACAACAATTTGAAGAGTTTATTTTCAAAACGCGGTATGCGCCGTTTTCAAAATAATGTAGAAGTTGTGCAATACACGGATTTATAGTCTCAATTTCACTATGCAAATTATTTAAAAGTTGTTTTGAAAAGTAAGCATTTCTAAAATTTGATAAGATTTGAGAAAAAAAATTGAAAACCAAAATATGACATATTGATTTTACTTTGATATAAAAACTTTGACATAAAGTTTTTTTAACGCTAAATATTTTTCCTAGCCAAATTTATCACTAACTTATGTTTAAATAAGATGAATTACTAAGGGAAACGAAAACTGAGACTATAAACCTGTGTATTTATTTTTAGTTTATACGGACCTAACATCCATTGTGTCCGATTATTTGCTAAGCGCAGTATAATTCTATTTATTTTTTTCTAAAAAGCGTTTTATTTTCAAAACACGGTATGGAATTTTTAATTTATTTTTAAAGTGCGTAATTTAATTGAGACCAATCCATGGCAATTGTTTATTACTACTGCACAATCGCTAACTAGCACAGGGCCGTGCGGTGCAATGATACAAAGAGGCAACCGCCTCAGGCGGCATCATTAAGGGGCGGCAAAGTAGCGAAATCAAAATGCAATTTCAGGGTTGCAATAATAATTAGGTACTAAATCATAAACTGGACTCATTTAAATTTTAATTACTACCAAACTCGTGAATGTTTTTATCACTTTAAAAGTTTTTTCATTGTCCACATTTTTCTATAGAAATAAAAAATAAATTTCTCCCTCATTTAGCATTTGCTTTTGCTATTCCTTTCAATATGAATAAAAACGTTTTGAAACGCATATTAGCGTGGACTATTTTCTTATTATGTTTCAAAATACTGTTTTCAAACGTTTTTAAACGTTTGTGTTTGCCTGTCTTTGCAAGTTAAATTTTAACTTTGTAATGTCATCATGTTTTTAACTGTTAATAACATGATGACATTACAAAGATTTTACAAAATTTTTACAAAAATTTATTACAGCAGTGACAGCAATCGTCAGCATGGAACAAAAAAGAAAAACAGTCAATACAAAAAGAAACGCTTAAAGAATGAGGAACAAGAAAGAAAGCTCAGCAATGTTATGAAGAAATTCTTAGTACAAAAGTGCGGTTTAGATGAGCCATCCACATCAGCAGCAACTGATTTGGCAAATAACAACACAGTGCCGCCCCAATCACTTCCAGAAGAAGTTGTTGAAGAGAACCAAATACTAACACCATCAGATCTTCATGAACAGCCGGGCAGCACATCCACGTCAACTGCGACTGCCTTGGATTTGGCAAATAAAAACACAGTGCCGCCCCAATCAATTCCAGAAAAAATTGTTGAAGAGATCCAAAAAATAACATCATCAGAAGTTCATCAAGAACCGGGCCGCATTAGCAGTGGCAGTCAGCAGGTATTAAAAGAAATTCCTTCAGATCCTGCATTATGGCTTACTTTCTGCATGTCATCTCAAACTCGTCAACTACTGGTTGAGAGGGGTCCCCATCATATTAAAGAATTCGAGTTTCCTATTAATAAAGTAAAGCGTAGATTTTTGCCCTCGTATTATTCGAAAGTGTTGAGCAATGGTGAAGTCGTTGAGAGAAGTTGGCTTATTTACTCTATTGCTAGTGATGCCGTTTTTTGCTTTTGTTGTATATTATTTGATAATTCGTCTGATATTAGTGACTGGCCCAAAAAAGGCTATTCTGACTGGAAAAATCTTATAAGAGCCCTCACAATGCACGAAAAGTCTGTAAATCATAGAAATGCTTTTAGAGCATGGAAAGAATTGGACATTCGATTGAAGCAGAAAAAAACTATTGACGCTGAATATCAACGAATTATGGATATGGAACTTCAGCATTGGAGAGGAGTTATAAAAAGAATTATGTCAATAATTAAACTATTGGCCTCACAATGTTTAGCTTTTCGTGGATCAACTGAACATTTGTTTCAACCTAATAACGGGAACTTCCTAAAGTTGGTAGAATTACTTTATGAGTTTTATCCAGTTATGGGAGAACATATCAGGAGAGTTCAACGAGAGTCTGATAAATGGTCAGTGACTTATCTATGCAATAATATACAAGATGAATTGATAAATTTAATGGGAAATTCATTTTTAAAAAAAATTGTCGAAATAACAAAAATCGCTAAATATTTTTTTATAATCGCTGATTGTACCCCCGACGTCAGTCATTATGAACAGCTCTCCTTAACAATAAGAGTTGTTACTTTTAACTCCATTCAAAATAAATATGAAATTGCAGAATTCTTTATTGGTTTTTTTGAAGCTGGTGATTCAACCGGAGAAGGTTTAGCAAAACTTATTTTGACACATTTGGAAAAATTAGGTTTTGAGTTAAAGTGGCTTAGGGGACAAGGCTATGACAACGAAGCCAATATGAAAGGAGTAAGAAAGGGTGTTCAAAATAGAATACTTGAAAAATATCCAAGGGCTTTTTATGTGCCCTGCGCATGCCATTCTTTAAACCTTGTTGTGAATGATGCAGCGTCTTCTACTACAGAAACAACATTTTTTGTTTCTATTGTACAAGAACTTTCCAATTTTTTTTCTGGTTCTACAAAGCGTTGGGAAGTGCTAAAAAAATATGTTTCTTAATTAACTCTGAAACCATTAAGTGCTACTAGGTGGGCAAGCAGAATAGATGCTTTAAAACCTTTACGATTTCAACTTTGCGAAATCTATGATGAATTGATTCTGATAATAGAAGACGTCAATAGAGATGCAGAAACTAAAGTTAAAACGAGAGGGTTAGCAAAAAATATTAAAAATTACAAGTTTATATGTGGAGTAATTCTTTGGCATGATATTTTGTTTGAAATTAGTTCAGTTTCGAAGCTTTTGCAATCTGATACTATAAATATATCAGATTGTGTAAGGATGCTATCAGAAACCATAAAAAAGTGAAAAGTTATAGACAATCTGGATATATTCAGATGAAAATTGCTGCAAAGGAGATAGCAGAGAATCTCGAATGCAGTACAGAATTTCCTGATGACACTGAAATTAGACCCAGAAGGAAAAAGCGTCAATTTGACTATGAAAAAGCTGTCGATGAACCCTTAACAGAGGAGAAAAAATTTAAAATAAACTTTTTCAACTATATTCTGGACATTACCCTTAATTCTCTGAATGAACGATTCACGCTTCTGGACACCCATAGCAAAAAATTTCAGTTCTTATATGACATTTTAAAACTCAAGGATATAGATGACAAAACGCTAGAAAATTATTGTTCCAGTCTTGAATTTATACTTTTGGTTGAAAATGAAACAGATATAAATGCAAATGACCTTAGAGAAGAATTGCGTGATGTATCCAGAATGCTACCATATTCTACGAAACCTTTGGATGTTTTAAATTATTTATGCCAAAATAGCTTAATTAGTTTGTATCCAAATACTGTTGTAGCTCTGAGAATTTTATTAACTCTCCCTGTATCTGTAGCTAGTGGGGAAAGAAGTTTCTCCAAATTAAAATTAATAAAAAACTACTTAAAAGGTTCAATAGGACAAACAAAACTTAAAAATCTGGCATTAATTTCTATTGAATCTGCAATGGCTAGCACTCTAGACTACACATCAGTAATTAACGAATTTGCTAAAGTTAAAGTTAGAAGAGTAAAGCTGTAATACTGTACATTGTTGTAGTTTATAATTGAAATCATTATTTTAAAATTTCAAAATAAAAAATAGAATTTGTACATTTTGTGCAGTTTTTTTTTAAATAACAATCGAAGGTAATTTAAAAAAAAACATTTAAGGGGCGGCATTTCGAAGATTTGCCTCATAATGAGAAAATCTATCGCACGGGCTTGAACTAGCATTAATGAAATGGCGGATTGCGTTATCTATTCTAATGCGTTATCTATTCTCCTATTTTACAGAAAAAAACATACAAGGCTTGAAACGAGAAAAAGGAAAAGCATTTCTTTATTTCTAGCGTTTGTTTATAATTTCATACTTTTTTGTTCAACTGAACTGATTATAGAATGGTTATATAAAATATATTAAAAAGGCATCTTATATTAATGAGTTTAAATATATTTGTTGCCTGTTTCAAAGATAAATGCAAAAATAGATTAACATGAACATGAGCAGTTCTGTCATGATTATATTTTATTTATTATGTTGATACCCCTCTGTGTCAGGTTGTAATGGTTTTACCCAATCCGGCTTGCACTTCCACTCACTTCTAGTGACACCACTGCTTCAGAAACATTTTAAGACAACATGGGAATGTTTCTGTTAATCGCCAGGATCGATCAGCTTTAAACTTTAAAGCAGAATAAATGATTTGAAAACAATAAAAACGTTAACAAAAGTTAGACCAAAAATATTATCAATTTTAACTATCAGAAACTAGTACTATGTTGCCATCACTTTGAGCTAATCTCGCATTGCCAACTTAAAAAAGGGATGAAATAGGATACTTTTAAACTATGTGTTCTAATGTGTGACTATGGGAAAAATGTTTAAAAGAATATGTGTTTTGTCTGCTAATTACTGTCGGTGCAGGCAATACAAAGCGCAAACTTTACGAGACACTTCTGCAAGATTCTAGAGTAGATACTCCACCGTATAGTAAAGATGATTATATTAAAATGTAAATTTTAAACTTTAAAGTTGAATGCGAAAATAAAAAAAAATGTTATGACTTATTGTTTTATATTTAACTCTCCGAAATAAATTTATTATCATAATTGTGAATTTTAAAACGTAGCAGTTTACATTGCTTTATCAGAAAATTGTTATTATTTATATTATTATTAAAATAATATTACCAAAACATTAAATATACCGAGTT